GCTATAGGAGAGAAAAATAAATGAAGGCAGGAGTCCCTCTTTCTCAGAGCCCAGATTTCAGCTGTAATTCAGCAAGCTACTTAAGCATGTGCCTAATTTAACTGCAATGGGACTACTTACGTGTTTTGTGTGAGAGGATTCCACAGTATAAATGATATCTGTATGGGTTTCAGGGGAAACAGAGCACCAGGATGTGGTGGCCAAAAAAACAAGGAACCAAAAGAAAAAGAAACTCTCATTTGCCCTTATTGTGTCCAGTCTCCAAAATCATCTATTAGTTCAGATGAGAGCTTACACCCATATTATTTACTAAACAGGTGGTATTTATTAGCATCTTACAATGCAGTATTGGGTAGAAAACAGAGAAGCACTCATTCCTCTTTGGAATGGGATATTTTCTATCTTTTTTGTTATTATTTTTGTTGCTGTAACTAATTTATATATTTATTTTTTACAAAGTAAGCCCAGTTAGTGAAAATTATTTTATGCTCCCTTGCCACTATACCAACAAAATGAAATCCAAGTTGCTGCATGATGTGACTTGTAAACCATTTGTGCTGAAATGACTGCCAGGAAATGGATGGAAAATCTTTATCCTGAAGAAACACTCAAATAAAACGCTGGCATAATCTGAAAATGTTCACTGAAAGTGAGAATTGGGTTTTTAAAATTCTCAATCTCTTCAGCTGATCCCAGTATAACAATTTAGTGCATTAGCAGAGAAACTGATTTTTTTTCCCCCTCTTACTTTGAGCAAATCTGAAAATAAGATTTTTTTAAAGGAAAAAGGCAAAATAAAACCATTTTGTTTGCATTTTAGGGAGGAAAAAAGTCAGCAGCTCTGCCATCTAATCTAAGCCACACGTTTTCAAAAAGGCTACTATCAGTGTTTTACAAACACTAGTCTCTTGCCAGTTTTGCTTCATTTTTTTGGAGTTAGGTCATGATTTAAAATCTTGACATTCTCAGCTCGGGCTAGACACTGTGATCACAATTAGATGTGCTCATCTCACTTTGCCTTCTGATACCCAGCAATTCATAGATATTTAGGCAATCAGCTGGCAACAAAGAGGGATATTAACAGATTCTGAATACTGACTGGCCTATTTTTTCTTTATAATGTAGCCCCTACCATTTTCATTTGTGTATCCTAATAGACACCTGTCCCTCTGTATAGGGCAAGTTTGCCTAAACTAGAATTTAGTGTCCATTTTTCTGAACCACAGAGAAAAGCAACAGCTCATTTACTTATCCATTTAACTCTAAAATTACATAACCATATCAACCCCTCTTCTCCCTTCAACCCTCGCTGCATCTCTTGTTATCACAAAGCCTATTCAAAAGGCTCCCAAGAGCCAAGACCAACAGTAAGACAATCTAACTTCATGTGAAACTGAAAGGCTGATTCATTCTCCCCCATCCGAGAAAAAGACCAAACATGATTCTTTCTAGTGCTGTTATTTCAGATCTGTATCACTTCTTGGTTTGATCACAGCTGGGACTAGTGTTCTGCCCCCTAAACATGTGTTACGTTATCCTGAACGTTTTATTCATTTACTGGAGGAGGTATCAAGAGATTTCTTCTTTAAATGACAGCCCGATGCCCAAGGGACTGACCTGCCAGAAGAATTCTTTAGCATTGTGGAAGTAACTAGCTACCACAGAAAAACTGCTTTGAAGTTACTCATTTGCGGCACCCAATGAACTAGGGTTGTGCCAGTTCTTTTTACTGGATTACTTTCATGGCAAGCTCTTTTTGTCCATCTGAAGAGTTCCTTTGTGACCAAAGAATGTGGATGTATCTTGGGACTGATTTGATACTTCAAAAGATGATTCTTGTAGCTTATCTTGCTGTAAGCTCTCTGCTGAAGGAAATGATGCAGAGTTCTCATGTCACTGGATCAGAGTGATAGCTCCTACAATGTACTTCTATCATCTGACTGTGCATGGTATTGCTTTTATGTACGGTATTCCAAACCATACCCCTACAGTGTAGGAATTTTATTAAATTGACACACTGCTAGAGGGTTCTTGGTTACCATATTTTACCGTTAGAGAAAGGAACACTCCCCTCAAAGACTGAAACTTCAGGCCACATCTTGGTCCCACTGAAGTCAATGGAAGACCAGGGGTGAAGAGGAGGAGGGGGTTAAAAGTTTTATTCATGTCCTGAATTTTAATGGAAGAAACAATGCATAACAAATGACACACCACGTCACTGAAACACAGATAAAGTCCATCATCTAGACTAAAACGTGTGAGCTAACACGTATTAAGTAACGTGTATTAAACACCATTTATTACCTAGTTTAGACAAAGACAGTGATGTTTAAAATCATGTTAGATGGTCATGTTATAAACGAGGCTCCCCACTAGGTTACAGCATAATCAGCCAACATCTATGCCCGGTGTTAAGCAGTGTTTCAAATTACCTATTCTATATTTTGAAGTTGTATCAGTATCACTATTTGAGTGAGGGATATGATTTACCAAAATAATTATACCAGTAGAAGCCCTAGTGTGCACACCATTATACCAGCATAAAGGTGCTGGTATAGCTTATTCTTCTTCCCAGGAATAAGCTATACTGGTATAAGCACTTTTATACTGGTACAATAGTTACCACTCTAGGGGGACTGTACCACATTAACAATATAAATATAGTAAAAGTGGTACAATTTTTATGTGTAGACAAGATCCTAATCTAGACAGACCCTTTGTCTACAGTAAGGGCTGAATCGTGTTTAAAACCATGTAAATACATATTAGCTAATGAGTTTTTAACACCACCCATTTTAGCAGTCTGGACAAACCAAATATTAAATGTCACCTCTTTCTATTTCACCCAGGAGTGCTGACAATGGGCGAATACAGGCAGGTTTCAATGCATTCTTGCCTTAGCAAATGAGTTCTGTTCCTTGGGCTTCTGATCCCTTGCTTCTATTCCTCTGGCAGAGTTCATGACTACAGAAGAATCCTTGATTTGCTTAGTACATGGCTATTTCCTTCTTTTATAGACTATTTTAAAAAACCTACTGGCACTCCCCACAATTTCAGATGGATGCAGTTTCCATTTATGGTTCAGTGGAAAGAGATATTGGGGCTGTGACTGTTTCTGATTGACATATAAACAGTTATTGCAAGTTCAAGGAGAACCTATCCCCCTACCCCCTTTCTTTAATACTTCCAAGAGTCTGATCCAGTGCCCACTGAAGTCAGTGGAAAGATTCCTATTGTCTTCAGAGGACTTTGGATCAATCCTTAAGAGACGTTCTACAGGCAATGAAAAAAAAAAAAAAAAAACAGCACAGCGACTTGCCAGTCTGCACATGTCTGAAGTGCAGAAGATACTTCCCTCTGTTTAATAACATGTTGATATGATTTTCTGTTTCTTCCTGTCTTCATTCATGCTGAAGCAGGAAACCAGACTAACATTCTGTCATGCTTTACAAATGTGGTAGGGCTCTTGCAGTTTGTACTGTTACGGGCTGGGTGAAATCTTGTTATAGGCGGAGTTAACATCTCTTTAAACTGATGTGTGAATGACTCCCCCATTTAAGAGAGATCGGGCGGGTGAAGAGTAATATATTTTATTGGACCAACTTCTGTCCTGAAGAAGAGCTTTGTTTAAGCTCAAAAGCTTGTCTCTCTCACCAACAGAAGCTGGTCCAATAAAAGATATTACCTCTCCCACCTTGTCTCTCTCATATCCTGGGACCAACATGGCTACAACACTGCATCCCCCATTTAAATCAGTTGTACTAAGAGACAGTTAAGGGGCCACACCTAAAACAAAGCCTAATAGAGTCTGTCCAGAAACTAGTACCAGTGGGTGGAGGGTTTAACTGGGTATTCTAACCAGATGCGGGCATAGGGAGTTTGGGAGAGGAGACACAGAAAATGTGAACAGGTAAGAACAGACTGAGTGGGAGAGAGAAGCATATCTGACCCTGGAAGAAACTGGGGATAGGTTTTTTGGGTCAGGGATGCAGGCTGAAAAGACTTTGGTTCTGTGAGCAAAAGAAGCTATTTCCTGCTATTTGATCCCCTCTGAGTTCACAAATGCAGGACTTTGTCCATTCTTTGTGCATAAACAAAACTGCATGAAAGAAATACCTATCACCAATTTCTACTCCCAACTGGACTATCCACAGGGCCCCACATTTTGATTAGCTGCTCGGGACGAAAAGGGGCAACAATAGCAATGGATTACTTTTTATCAACAAGATCTGGATGAATTTATAAAATAAAATATGTAAATGTAATGTATATTACTTTCAGTTTCTTTCCTTAGCAATCCTACCTTTCCTGTCCTAAGTATAAGTGACACTGCCCTAGTAGATATGGCACTCAGGATGGCAAAGGGAAACAATAGAGCTAACAAGCAGAACACAAAACCAAACTAATACTGCTGTGAGAAACTAACAACAATACCTAACAGGTAGCACATTTAATCTTCAATGCATTTATAATCACTCACTCACTAATTGTCACAACTGAGAAGTATGGGAGTAAGAAGTATAATCCACATTTACACATACGGAAAAATGGCAAGATTAAGAGTGGGATTTTCAAAAGTACCAATGTGATTTAGGAGCAAGACAATAGGACTTGTTCTCTTAAATAACTTCAGCACTTTTGAAAATCATACCATACTCGGCTGGCCCAAGGCTATATACAAAGAGAGTCAGTATAACAACTGGAATTAGAACTTGGGAGCTCCCGGCGCACTATCCTATGCTTAAAAAACCAGTCCATGCCTCAGCCCTACTAATCAGTCATTATGTAATTCAGACCCAGTCATCAGTAATAGATTACGTTTACAAAGTAACCAAAGCAACTACTCAATCCTAATTGGAAAGCTATTTTTCTTTGCACACACAAGTGATCTAAAATGGAGAGGGTTTAAAAGCACAGTTATAACTCTCAGGATCCATTGACTATATTAATATAGGGAATAGAGCATATTACTGAGGGTAAAATAGCATTCTGAAACTTACTACTGAGGTCAGAGCCATCTGAAAACTGTAGATTCGTGCAAGGCCAAAGTCAGCTAATTTTATCTGCCCACTGCTTGTCACGAGGATATTTTGTGGTTTCAGATCACGGTGCACCACTCGGTGTGAATGCAGAAAATCCAGCCCTCGCAACAGTTGAAGCATCATGTCCTAAACACAAACAGCAAATAGTAATCAACACAAGGTGGCAAATAAACAAAGTCTCACATCTGCAAAATGAAGTTAAATAACTATTGACTTGAATATGTGTACAAGACACAAAAGTGCCTATTAACATAAAACAGACAGGATGTTGCTAGAGCCAGCTGATTTGAACAGGTGTACTTACAAAGGTAATTATAATTTCTAGTTGAATTATTTGAACAAATTATTTGATGTTGAGAAATAGAAGTGTGAAGACCAATCAATACATGTTAAAGAAATTATAGATCAAAATTCTGTAGTGTAGCAAAAGCATGCACATAAACCCCCAAAACAACTTCAAGAGCAAATTATCTAGGTCAGAGGCTGGCAAAGCAGCTGTTCTTCACTCAGACTCAAGCCACCTAGTACATAACTGAAGGAGAAGGATGCCCATCAAATAAATGTGTGCCTGGTCCTTTCCCACTGAAGTCAATGGGAGCCTTAGCATTGACTTCACTGGACACAGGATTGGGCTCTATATGAGAATACTAACCCTTAGCTAATTGGCACTGTCAAAATTGTCGTTTTATATTCAATCTACTGTATAAAATTTACAAAATATGTCAGGGTCTGTCTTTTGCTCTGTGTTTGTGTAGCGCCTGGCACAGTGGGATCCTGGTCCATGACTAAGGCGTCTATGCACTACGGCAGGGGTAGTCAACTTTTTTTTTTGTCAAGGTCCAAATTTATTGGTCAAGGTTTAGTCAAGGTCCAGACTCCAGAGAAAATAATAAAAAATAACAACAATAATGATAATAATTAGTAAATAAAAAGATTTCAGGGCCTGTTCAAAAGCGTCTGGATTTTGGTCGTGGTCCATCTATTGACTACCCCTGCACTACGGTCACACAAATAATAAGGTTTCACTTTTTTGCTTTCCATATAACATAGTTATAGTGACACAATATTTTATAACATTTTCAGTGTTAAAAAGAAACTTTGTTATTGGTGTTCATTAGGCATTGTTTTACAACAGTCACAATAACACAAAAGCAAGGAATCAACCAACAAATACTTCTCAAAACACAAACACTAGAAATCCAAGAATTTAAAAATTCAAGGGAAAGCATTAACAAAAAAATCACATCTGAAAACTGTGTACCTAGCATTGCTACAGGTAATTTCTAAGGTCACTAATAAGTAAAAGGAATAAATTTTTCAGGTTCTTTATTTTGTGCATTTGACAGCAATTTGTGTAAGTCAGTTTCATTGTCTTGGTGGTCCTATATGCCCTTCCCCAGGCCCTCCAGGAAGGTATTTACCAGTGACATTAGCAACAAAACTGAAACTGAAGAAGTAGATGGGAGGAGTGTATAGAGACAAAGGGGAGGAGAGGTGAGCTGAGCATGCTTAGTGTTGTTGCTCTGGGGTGCACCCAAAAGTTCCTTCTAAACATAATCAGGGGAGCAAACTCCCCCCCGCCCCGACATTTAAAAAAAAAAGGATACAAAACTTCAGCGCATATTGCTGAAAGGTAGCACTATCAGAAAATTACAATGATGACCACCCACAATTACCCCTTCTCCACCAACCGTCATAAGAAAATAGAATAATCTGGCTAGAAACCCAACAAGGGACAAAACCACACTCTTGACCATTATACTGATGGCTTCAGGAAAAAAATTGACTGTGAAATGCTTAACAAACATCATATCCACCACAATCTCTCCACTACCAAGAGGACAGCTACACAGTCCCTGAAATCCAACTACCAAATAGTGATCAAACCAGCAGACAAAGAGCCACCATCATAGTCCTCAACTGTGATGACTACATTAACAAGGCCAAGTGACAGCTCTCCAATATCACCTACTATATAGAACTCAAAGACACAACATCACCACCACTACATTTTATCTAGGAATTTAAGGATATCATCAAATCTTTCCCCAAACAACTCCAAGAGAAACTCTACAACCTCATCCCACATGAACTCCTCAGGGACCTTCTACATGCTTCCCAAGGTGCACAGACAAGGAAACCGAGGCAGACCCATCGTATCTGGCCACAGCACTCTTACTGAAGGAGTATTGGGACTCATAGGAACCATCTGCCAACCACTCACCACACAAAGGGCCAGCTTCCTCCAGGACACAATTGACTTCCTCCAAAAACTCCACAACATTAACAGGCTCCCTCAGAACACCATCCTTGCCACCATGAATGTCTCAGTCCTGTACACCAACATCCCTCACAATGATGGCATTGCTGCCTGTCTCAAATATTGACAAGATAATGAACAACCCAGAGACATCCACCCCAAACAATAGTCAAATTCCTCAATTTCATCCTTACCCATAACAATTTTACATTCAACAACACTTTGTCCAAATCATGGGAACAGCCATGGGTACCAGGATGGCTCCCCAATATGCCAACCTCTTCATAGACCATCTTGAAGAAGAATTTCTGGACAAATGCACCATGAAACCGATGATATACCTGAGATATATCAATGATATTTTCATCCTCTGGACAGACAACCTAAATTCCCTTACAGATTTCCTCCACAACTTCAACAACCACCCCCTGTCCATTAAACTCTCTCTAGAACACTCTCACACTAGCATCTGCTTCCTGGACACCTTGATCAGCTTCAACAATGGAACTCTACAGACAACTATGTACAAGAAACCCAGAGGATCACCACACCTACCTCCACAGATCCAGTAGCCACCTCAAACACACCCAGAAATCTGTTACCTACGGCCAGGCATGCAGATATCACAGAATATGCTACGAGGGCAAAGTTAAAGACCTTAACACACTTAAAACCATCTTTACCAAACAAGGACACTCCACCAAAGAAGTAGATCGCATCATGAATGGGACACACAAATACACCAAGAAAACCTGCTTCAATACAGAAATAAACCCCCCTCCGAGCGCAGATCTCAGTTGTCACCTACTACCCCATACTGGAACCCATAGGAAGTATCAAACAATTATCACCCATAATTGATGGGAACCCCATCCTGAAATAAATCTTTCCTGAACCTCTTCTTCTGGCCTTCAATCCCCCACCATCCTCCCGTAACCTCTCCAAGCTCATCATCAGAAGCAAACCCCCACAAATCAGGACACATCAACTCAAGCAGCACCAGACCCTGCCAATACAACAGATGCAAAACCTGTAGACCTAACTCTACTGCTACCATGATCAACATCCTCCTGCTACCCTCACAACAAACCTTTCAAAATCCACGGGTCCTATACATGCCTAGCACAATGAGTGCTGTACCTCATCCAGTGCACTAAATGCCCCAATAATAACTATGTGGGTGAAATCACACAATCACTATGCCCTCAAATGAACTCTCACAGAAAAATGATAGACAAAAATACCACATCACCTGTGGGTGAACACTTTTCACTGAACAATCACTCTATATTTGACCTCTCAGTCCTCACCTTGCACAACACCTTCAAAAGATGAACTTGGGATCTTAAATTCATAATTTTACTAGACACCAAAAATCATGGACTGAATAGATACACTTATTACAACAATCTATAACCCACTTAACCCAACCCCCAGCTTTTTCCCCCTTTTCCTCTATGACTGAAGAGGTGTTAACAGGCCCCTTCACCTTGAATGGTCCCGTGAAATGTGTTAACCACTTACGCTAAACTATCAGTTCCACCTTGTATTTAGTTGTGACACTCTGAAAAAGCTCTGTGTAAGCTCAAAAGCTTGTCTCTCTCACCAATAGAAGTTGGTCCAATAAAATATATTATCTCACCCACCTTCTCTCTCTAACTTTTACATAGGTCTTCTGACCTTGAAAATGTAATACAGAATTCATGGATTGATACATTTTAAGGCTCGATGGGATCAGTATGATCATTTAGTCTGACCTCCTGCATACACAATAATTGCCCATAATTTCTGTTTGACTTATAATAGCTCTCATAAAAACATCAGCCTCGGTTTAAAGACTTAAAGTGACAGAAAATCTACCATGTCTTTAGGTAAGTTGTTCCAATAGTTAACTACCCTTATTTCCAGTCTGAATTAGTTTAACTTCACCTTCCAAACACAGAGGTTTGTTCTGTCTTTGTCTACTAGGTTCATGAGCCCTTTACTATCAGAAATCTCTTCCTTGTGTAGATGCTGGTAGACAATGATCAAGTCACCTCTTAACCTTCTGTTAGATAAACTAAGGAGACCGAGTTTCTTAACTCTCTCACTGTAAGGCATGTTTTTCAGACCTCAAATCATTCTTGTGCCTCTTTTCTGAACCCTTCCAATTTTTCAACAACCAGAACTGGACACAGTATTCCAGTAATGAACTCACTAATGCTGTATACAAGGGTAAAACCATCTCCTTACTCCTACTTGACATTCCACTACTTATATACCCAAAGATCCCATTCACCTTAGCTACAGCAAGGGTGGGCAAACTGGCCCGACAGTTGTTTTAATCCGGCCCTCAAGCTCCCACTCCGGCACTCCAGCTGGGGATAGGGTGACCACACAGCAAGTGTGAAAAATCGGGACAGAGGGTGAGGGGTAATAGGAGCCTATATAAAAAAAAGACCCAAAAATCGGGACTGTCCCTATAAAATCGGGACATCTGGTCACCCTAGCTGGGGAGCAGGGTCGGGGACCACTCTGCACAGCTCCCAGAAGCAGTGGCATGTTCCCCCTCTGGCTTCTATGCATAGAAGCAGCCGGGGGGCTCTGCTCCACACGTTGCCCCCACCCCAAGCGCCGCCCCTGCAGCTCCCATTGGCCAGGAAGTGCGGCCAATGGGAGCTGCGGGGGCAGCACCTGCGGATGGTGCAGCATGCAGCAGAGCCGCCTGGTTGCGCATCCAAGTAGGAGCCGGAGAGGGGACATGCCACTGCTTTCGGGAGATACTTGAGGTAAGCGCCACCCGGAGCCTGCAATAACAAATACGCCCCAACCCTCTGTGCCCGAACCCTCTGCCCCAGCCTGCCCTCCAAACCACTCGGTCCTAGCC